TAGATAAAAGCATTACTATACACGAATGGGATAAATCACATTTGGTCAGCCGTGAGTGGATTTGGACAGCCCTCACGAGATGCAGAGATATCAATAAAGTCAAGTTTTTCAAAGCAGAAACAGATGATACTGACTTAAATGAAGCACAATTAACCAGATATTTAGAACATAAGATTAAACAATATAAATTACAAGACATGAAAGCAGAGAGAGAGATAGACAACAAAAAATATATTGATGTCAAATGGTTATTTGACAGGCTTAATACCAGATGTAATAAATGCAGTTCAGAGTTTGACATAGAAATAAATAATGGAGTAATAAATAGTAATATGACAGCCCAAAGAATAAACAACGATTATGCCCATCATAAGGAAAACTGTATATCTTACTGTTTAAACTGTAATCGCCGGGAAAAATAATATCTATCTTATTTTATATGGCATCTAAGCAAGATATTATTAATAATGTTTATTATGATAAGGGAGGCTTCGGGTCAAAGAATCGCACTTTACAAGAAGCAAGACAAAAAGATAAATCAATTACTATTAATGATATTAATGAGTTTTTTAGGAAGAATGTAGAACAGAAAGCCAAGCCAAGAGGACAGAATTCATTTGTAGCTCCTAACGCATATTATGAGTTTCAAATTGATTTATTTTTCATTAATGATATCCCTAAACAAAAAATGAAAGTTGGCATGATGTGTATTGACATATTTTCTAAGTATATGGTTGTTGTCCCGCTTATGTCAAAACAGCCAGCGGACATTTTAGCAGGACTGATGGAATGTATTAAAAAAATGGGTGGAAAGCCCAAACTAATTTATATTGACGACGAAGGAGCTTATAACAATCAAAGTGTTATAGATTTCTTGAAGGGTGAAAAAATAGAGTTGCACAGAACCAGAGGACACCCAGCATTCGCGGAGAGGGCGATAAGGACGTTTAAAGATAGCTTGTATAAGAGGGTTGAAAACGATGAGAAAAAAGGAAAGGCTATTCAATGGACAGACTACATACACGAGATTATATTAACTTATAACAATGGAATAAAGCACACTTCGCACGGCTTAACACCGTCAGAAGCAAGAAAGCCTAAACATCAATTAGAAGTGAGTTTAAATTTAGGTATGAAAGCCAAAAGAAATAGAGTTTATCCAGATTTAAATGTAGGAAATGAAGTTAAGATATTCAGGAAAAGGAGACCAAATGAAAAGGAGAGAGTAGGAGTATGGACTAAACAAACCTACAAAATAGCAAAGATTGAAAAGAAGTTAGGACAGGAATATTATTATATTGAAAATTATGACAGGGCATTTTTGAGACATGAGTTATTAAAGGTATAAATTTATTTCTTGGAAAAAAGTATTTAAAGAAATAAAAACTATATATATTATAATAGAAATGGTTGAATTTACAGAGAAAGAGCAAGAAGAGATTATTAATAAATTCTTGGATGACTTAAACAAAAATGAAACAGAAAAGATTCTCAAACACGAACTATCCAAACATAATTACAATTCATCACTATTACTTTATTTGAAGTTGCCATTCAATGCCATTAGGTTAATCAAAGAATATGGAGAACGTAAATGCAAATGCGATAACTGCATTCATTTGAACCAGACAATTGACCACGCGAATAGATATTTTAGTGGTGTCTCTACAGTATACTATTTTAATGAGTTATATAAATTCCCAAAGGAAGAAGAATTAAAGCTACAGTTTAATTTGGCACCAAGCAGGTTTAAGAAATACAGATCTGGATTTAACAGTCGTTTACATGACCCTACGCGTTTAAAACATTTTGTACCATCAAGTAAACTGAAAGAATTTAATGACATACTAAAATACATTCATGAACATAATTTTACCAAATATGAACATATCAAATTAAATTATTATCCTGAAATTAACCTATAACCATACTATAATAATAACATGTAAAATATTATATGTTATAATTATATTTCAATATTTAATTTTATTTCTTGTAAAAAAATATTTAAATAAATAAACACTATATATATTATAATAGCAATGGTGGAAACCGAAATCAATAATTATATCAATAAGAAATGCTACGACTGTTGCCACTTCAAAAAGAAAATATGGAATTATATAAATTGAATTTACCTAATGGAATAGTTAATAATATTATTGATTATTCTTTGGACGAAGAAAATATATGTAGAACTTGTAGAAGATGGAGACGATATCAAAATATAATAGAAAATTGTTTGGCGTTTAAAAATATAGATGAAAGAAATGTTGAAGATGAAATATTGATATTTTTAACTGTGTATGAAAGACCACCTTACGATTATGTTAAACAGTTTCTTAAAATCAGTAAGAAAAAGTGTGAAATGATTAATGACATATTATGGATGTTGATTTATTATAGTAAACCCGGCGTTGATGTAAAAAAAGTCATAAAATCATATATTGAAAGTGAAAAATTTAATGTTAAAAATACAGTGAGAGATATTAATATTATTTTTAAAATGATGTATGAAAGAGGTAAGATGTATCAATTAAATTATTATCCTGAACTTAAATTATAATCATAATATAATAATAACATGTAAAATATTATATGTTATAATTATATTTCAATATGTAATTGTATTTCTTGTAAAAAAGTATTTAAAGAAATAAACACTATATATATTACAGTGGAAATGTTATTTAATTATTCAAAGTGCGAATGTTGTACAACTAAAAGGAATGATGTTAATATAACATTGTATAAGTTATTACCCGCCAATCTATGTAATAAAATAAGTGAATATGATGTATATTGTAGTCAATGCTGTATAACAAGAGACCTTGAAAAGTTTTTTGTTGAAGAACATAAGGATAAGGGATATACAAAGTTTCAATTACAATTGACATTCTTTATGAGATATCAAAAACGATGTCCTGTATGTTTTTACCATACAATTGCAAGAAAGTCATTTGAAAAAGAAATTGATGAGTTCTTCAATAATAAAGATTTGATTAAAAGGTTTGGAGGGACAAGCGCAATTAAACCATATAAAGCATTTGTTAAAAAATTTCGAGGCATGTTTGATGCGATTGATTGGCATTTATTAAGTAAAGATAAAATAAACGAGGTCTTGAATGAATTTAGAATAACTAAATATCATGTATGGTCTTACTACAACACTAAATATCAAGTATGGCTACTAGTTAATTTGTTTTTCTGGGAATATATTTATTCAATAATAGGAAAAGACAATATCAAATATATAGACATTGGCGATATTGATAAATATGTAGATTACATATTTGAAGACATTTTTCCTGACTATAAATGTAACCCATAATTATTAATCATACTATAATAATAACATTTATACCCTTATATGTTATAATTATAATGTAAGTATAGCGTTTTATATATTGAAGATAAAATCCTACAAGGAGGATGCGAGCGTTAGCGAAGCTCGCAAGCTATGCGACCACGCCCAAACAAATATATGATAAAAGTGATGAAACGAAGGAGGAGAGTGATGTTGTTGCTGTTCTATTTCTTGTCCGGGAAATGGACAAATCGTTTTTAGACAGTTCGAATATTTTTTTGATGACAAATATTTTTTGCAATATATTTTGCAAAATTTATTTTTTTGAAATGGATGAGGTGAGGAGATTGAGGAAATGACATTTTGGAGGGTAGTTGGTGAAATGAATGAGGCGAGGAGGAAGGAGAAAAGGATGGCGAAAATTTTGGAAAAATGATGATAAAAAAACGGATGAGATGGACAGAAAGGAATGTAGAAAAATGATGAAAACAAATAAGGGTAGAAGATGGAAGATGAAAAAAAATTGTAGGGTGGGGGGTATGTATGAAGCAATTTATTTGCGGGGCAAGGCCCTCGACTACTAATAAAACCCAGAGAAGCCCCTTACGGGTTTTTCCATCCCCCCAGACCCGAGGGCCAGCAAGGAAACCAGCCGATGCTGGTTTCCTTTTGCAATGTTTAGGGATTCCACTGACATGCAATGTTGTTAGAGCTCATTTGCCTTGAGGGTATCCCAGAATTCCGTTTGAGTTATTTTACGCCACTATGGTATCCTCATTCCCCGTTTTGGAATCCCCCCCCTCCCTCCCTTCCCCCGTCCCTTCCCCCCTCCCTTCCCCCCTCCCTTCCCCCCTCCCTTCCCCCCTCCCTTCCCCCCTCCCTTCCCCCCTCCCTTCCCCCCTCCCTTCCCCCCTCCCTTCCCCCCTCCCTTCCCCCCTCCCTTCCCCCCTCCCTTCCCCCCAAAATTGAGGCGAGAACCATTGATTGAGGCATGCATAGTATTGAACCCCCGCTCGGGTGGTGTGTTCGGGGAAACCAAGAATCTCAGTGGTCTATTTATGGCCCCATCATTTCACCATGAAGTGTTAGGTTGAAGGGAAACAACCCTATTTTCTGCCTTGGTTATATTTGTAGAAACAGAACCAAAATAAACAGGTCCAAAATGTTGAGGTCCGTCATATACGGTTCATTTGGGAGGGACATGGGTGGGACATGGGGGGACACTCTAGATTCTGCCAAGAAACTAGGGATTCACTAAATTTCACAGGTCCTTTCAGTGAACAAGCAATGTTGACCGTAGGTCTTACAGATGTCTCAAGTACCCCTGAGATGTCCAGTTAGATTTTCCTGTCAAACCAGCCCAAGCGTCACTTTGTGGAAATGTAATTCTTGGCACCCGGGAAAAAGTGAATGGCCCAAGTCCCTTTATGTGGGTAAGTGAAAGTGACATTTCACCCAAATGGGTTGGAATTGGGCCTCTGAGTGCACTCAACTGCTCGGGCTTTGTGCCAAAAGAGGGGCACCCTAAAAAGTTTTTTCTTTTACGTCGCGCTTTGTTACCCACCCCCCCAAACCCTGGCAAATCTCCGCTTTTGGAGGGTTTCCAGCTGTTCCCAGCTGTTCCCTTGGTTGGTTTTCGTTACCACCGCAGCCCCCCAACCCCTGCGACATGCCGCGGCATCAAATCCTGCAGGCGCTGCGGCGGCTTTTCCAACCCCGCCTGGCACAGAGGGAAGCGCAACTACTGCGACGCCCGGTATTTGAGGACCTGTGAAGAACCCAAGAGGTTATAGGTCGAATGTTTAGAGAACAAGATGCATATTATTTAGGTGCAATTACATATATATATATAGAGAGAGAGAGAGACACACATAGGGATGTATTGAGACTTCTCATGTTTGTCGTATTTATAGTGTGTTTGCCATGGCAAAAAAGTCGAGTATGATCTACATCGCGATGTAAACTTTATATTGGATATATGCATTTAATCCCGGACTACGCAAGGCTATGTTTCTGCAGTTAGTCTTGTGTTGAATCGTTTTCACGAAGAGCTACGTGCAGACTATGCTGCAAACAGTGTTCGGACCTGCCGCTACATAGCTGTCAGGGTTGGTTGCAAAACGGGTCAGGCCATGGGCATCAGTTGTGGGAATGGGGAAGCATCCTGTTTGCGTGACAGATTCGTTGGCAAGGAGTGCCACATTCATGAAGTGGGCAGCCCAGTTGAAGCACGCTGTTCGCCAGGGAGCGAGAATTCAGCTGGCCCTCTTACCGGGAAAGGTTCGATCCGTATCACAGCTTCTTCTAGGTCCCCCAGTAGTGCCCTTTTACCTTTTTTTGGGGGAGGGTTCCCCAACTAAAATCGACTACAGAAAGAAGTTGGTACCCTAATTCTAACCTCTCTACTGGAGGACCTAGCCTTTCAATCCGAAGGTTTCTTTCAACCGCTTGGGCGGGATTTGGGGACGCTTTCCCGATGCATGACAAAAGAGGCTGCTAGCGAGAGTTGGCTGATGTTCCTCCGTTTCAAAGCTGGGAAAGCCAACGCAACAGAGGTCCAAATGGCATATACAAAAACATGCAATTGCAGTGTTTACTAGTGTGAATCATGTTAAAATCACAAGTGTACATTTGGATATGAACCAATAGTATGTGTTTGTATAATGTGTATTTGTATGCATAGGGAATATCCGATTTCCAACTTGGGAACTTGTGCTTCAACTGGCTATGGGGAAAATCCATCTGTTCGATGCTGACCTTTTGGGGGAAACCATCTGTTCGATGCTGAACACCTCCCGAGGGCTGGGGTGCTGTCTACTGGGCCTGCTGCATTTGCTGCTGGGCCTGGACGTCTTCTGCGCGCCGGAGCCGCCGGCGTTTCTTTGGCGGGACCTGGATACGGTGCTGGGGTATGCGACTCGGACGAATAGGAGGGCCCAGGCAGAATGGGTATCTTTTTTTCCGAGGTATTTGTCCTTTTTGGGGGTATTTCTCTTTTTGGTGATTTTAACGGGGAACGAAAAGGAAAACCACCATTCTACTAAATTCCCTATTTACAGGGACGAACATGTGTGTGTGTGTGCGTGTGTGTCTTTTTGGGGGTACCCTTGTTTTTGGTTTTAAAGGGGAGCCAAAAGGAAACCACCATTTTAGTGGGCTCAAAGACACACTTAAATGGAGCTACGGGGATCTCGGAAATCCACAAGTCCATAACTTATCCCTGTGGGGAACTTTCCTGGGTCGACATTTGAACGGGAATTCTTGTGGTTCCCCTTCACCGCATCATCCTTGACCCTTCCTCAGAGTCGGGTCTTTCCTTTGCTGGGCCTCAGAGGCAGGTTCCGCCTTAGCCCAGTGGTTCAGTGGCACGCTCTACATCGCTTCATCCCCCCCGTGGTCTTTTTGTGGTACCACGGTCGCTGAACAACCGGGTCTCAGAAGAATCCTTTTTGTATTTGTTTATCGGCGAGCTGGCTTGGGCATGAAACGAGCTCCTGCTGTAGCCCTTTGCTTGGGGATCCACAGTGATCCATGTTTGGTGCCTGAACACGCCATTCAAAGGAAAGAGTTTGTTTGGAGATCAGCCCTGTGGCTAGAAGTTTGTCCCTAGATATTTGGCACAGGGAGACAGGAAAGATGCAAAGCCATCTTAAGACATCGCCGGACCTGTTTTCCATCAGCACAGCCATCAGTGGTTTCAAGGTCGCAAATTGTGATTGAAGGAGGGAGGGGCCAAGAGAACAGAGAGCGAGAGGGAGGCAAAGCCAAACAACAAGAGAGCAAAGCAAAAGGGCGGAAAGAGGGAAGTAAAGAAAAGGGAAGGGAAGGGAAGCGAAGGGACGGGAGGGAAGGAAGAACAGAAAGAAGCACAAAACGGAAGAAGAAAGAAGGCATACTCTGTAAGTCAATAAACAAAGGAATAGTCATTGAGCTAAGCAAAGGAATTCGGAAAGAAGCCAAGAGCCCAAAGAACAGCAACACCGAGCGACCTACCTTTCTCATTGCCAGACTGCTCCTTCTTCGAACCGTGTGGCCCACCTTTTTTCTCCGTTCGCTGCTTGTTCCTTTGTCCGGCAGGGAATCCAACTGGAACCCACCCCCTCCCCCCCCTTTTGCTTCAAGTTTGTTGGAAAGCACCTACCATACCCACATTTTCCACCTGAACTAAGGAATCCTTTGGTGCATTTTGCCAAGGGATGTTAGGACTTTAACCTTTTGCCAACTAATGGGTTTCCAAGAAACCACTAAAAGTTCAGATTTTAGCAGAGCAGATTTCGCCACCGATCCCTAAAGCCCGAGCCAGGGCGAGGGTCTCGCCACGAGACTTGGAAGCCGCTCCGAGGTCTCCACCCAGGCGATGCTGCTGCTGTCTGCCCGCTGGGCCGCCCAGGCGGGTGGCCCCAGGGAGCTCTGCGGGCGATTGCTTCGGAAGTGGCTGCGTCTGGCACCGGCGCCTTGGACGCAAAATCCCAGGGTTGATTATCCACTAGTATGAGAATTGTGTGTTTTTGATGTGTGTGTTTTATGATGCGGGTTGGTGTTAGTTTGTTGTTATTTGTGTGAAATAGGAATACAATGGTTTGGTATTATGGTTTTAGGTGTTGGTTGTATGCGCTGTGGTTTTGACGTTCCAGTTTTGTTTCGGTAGGCTGCCCAGAGCTACATGTTTTGCAGGAGCCATGCCAAGGATTCGCACTCTGGCCGCCAGAGAACACCCCCCCCTGCAAATTGACGGAAGGAACCCAAGAACCTCAAAAAGCGGGAGCATTTACTCTTTGTCATACCCTTGCGCAACTGACCTCCCTTTAAGGCTTGCTGTTCATGTGAATGACTCGTTCCCCAAGAAACGAAGCTGTTCTGTCTAAAAGACCTCGCTTAATAAACACAAGGACCCCACAACAAGCCATCCATTGGAAGAATCTCCGGGCACCTTGTTCAAACATGCCCAGGCCATCGCCCAGTTGAATCTATGGTGTTTGCAGATACTTTGTTTACATATCCTTGCGCAAGGTTTGCTGCTGTTCGTACCATATTCTCCTCTCCCCAAGAGGAGGAACTAAGGAAACGCGTGAGCAAGAGCCGCGTGCTACCGTGCTACCGCTTGCAGTGCAGCTCGTTTCAACGGAACGGGGGTCAAACACCAAGGTGCCCTGGCCAATAGCCATAGGCATGTTGAAACACAAACACATTGATTGGTATGGTCGAGGACATCAGGTTGTCTTAATGCTTTGTAACACCATTTTTTGCTTACTTAATACACACATGTGAATGTGTATGTATACATAACCTAAGGGTGTTCTAACCCCGGTGTTTCTCCAGCGGTTGCTCTCATCTTTGACCGCCCGTTTTGGCCCAGCCTGAGGCCGGGCTGGCCTTGCGCTTGCTCTTCTGCCCGCTGCCGGCGCGGTGGAGACACAGCGGGGTTTCGGCCCGGAGGCATCAATGGGACGTCACAGATCCTAGGTCCCCCAGCTAGGTGCCCTTTTACCCTTTTTTGGTTGGGAGGCTTCGCCTACTAAAATAGACTACAGAAGAAAGTTGGTACCCTTATTGTAACCTCTTTGTTTTGGAGGACCTAGCCTCAAAGCCCAAGCTGAAGGTTGAAGCCCCAAACAGAAGGTTAAACCCTCCCAACTGATGGGTTTCCTTTAGGTTTCCCCAACTAAAAACAACAAGGGGTACCAACTCAAATAAAAAATCACGGACCCGGGGGTGCCAACCACAAGGTGCGAGCCTCCGGCCTTTTACCGAATGCTTTACCATGGGTTGGACCATTTCTACACCAGGTTTGGATGACTCGTTGTAAGACATCCTGAAAGTGATGCAAGCTGAATTGTGATTTGCTTGGAACCACCTCCAAAAGTAGTCTTAAAAAGCAATGGTTTCAACTTTGGGGAAGACTTACTTATGGCAAGGAGTAAGTTGAACTTCGGGTTTCGGTCTCGGCCAGCCAGCACACGGATCTCCATCAGTGGTCCCTATTTTTGACAACAGTGAAACGTGTTTACCCCACTCACTCGCAACCGGCGGTCCATCGACCCTATGTTGGCACCCGTGAATTGCAGTCAAGGTTTGTCAAAGTTACGCTTTGGCTATTCCTAGATTGGTGTGTCTTTTTTAGGGGACCCGCCCCCCCCCATGGCTTTCCTTTTGGTTTCCCTTCAAAACCACAAAAAGCATCGGTACCCTCAAAATGACTCACCCAGATGATGGTACCCTCAAAAGAAAACACAACAGACAGAGGTTCTTTCAAAAAATGACTCGCCCACATGGCCAAGAGACGCGGATTTCGAGACGACCGACCGACTCGCCCTGCGAGGTCCGCGGGTGACACGCTGGCGGTGGACTGCCGACTCCCGCGCTGCAGCAGCGCGCCCACCTGCGCGGAGCCCTTGGAGGGGTTGCCCTTCGGTGGCAAGGACTGGGCTGCGGTGGTTTTGTGAAACGGTGGTCTTGATCTTTGTTAAGCCGTTTGTTGAAACGAGTTTGTTGAAGAAGCTAAACAGGGTACCTTGATTGGTTTGATTGATCTTTGGTCGGACACATGTTTTTGTTGAACCGGTTTTTGGAAGAAGGTAACTTGATTGGTCTCACTTGATTGAAACAGTTTGTTTGATAGGGTATTCGCTTTTTTGAGGGAACCACGGAGATGCTATTATTTATTTGTTTATTTATTTACGTATTTAGTTATGGTTTTTTTGTGCAGTTATTTATTTATGTATTTATTTATTTAGTTATTTATTTATTTAGTTACTTTGTTATTTAGTTATTTATTATTTATTATATTATTATTATTATTTTGGGGGGGGGTCCCTTGTTCAAGACAAGCCAATGTTTAAGCATCCTCTAAATCGGCTGGTAAATGTTTCCTTAAGGAACCCTGAACAAAGCTGTGCAGTGTTCAACGGCCTTTATTGAGACCACCATTATCAGCATGGATTCCCACTGCTGTATGAGCCCTGCTTTTTTGACGCAGATCTTACTGGGGCCGGTCCGATCTCGATCAAGAAAGGGGCTCGCGTATGGTGTGTGTGTGTGTGTCTGTGTTTAAGGGGAAACGCAAGGGGAACCACACCAGTCTTCTACTTATTTAGGCACTAGTGTCAGCCTGGATCCTCGGCCAGGACGTGATCATGGCCTTTCCAGAAGTCGCTGACGTCGGCTGGTTTCTGGACGGCCGATGGTTGACGTCGACGTTCGTCGCAGGAAGTCAAAGCAGGCATTGAACCCATCTGAGCTCACTTTGGGTTTTTGGCCTCCCCCTGCCCCCAAAAAGAACAAATGGTTGTTTGCCTTTTCAATTCCTTTAAAGCCACCAAAAAAGGTGTACCCTACAAAAAGACGAGCCACTTCTGTGAAGCCCAGGAGACCGATTTGACCAACTGCTTGCTGCTGACGCTGCTGAATCTTGCAGAACGCCTTCCAGGAGGCCGCGCAGCCACGCGTGTAGACCGGCGGGAAGTCGTGGATTTTGGGCGTGGTGGTGTTTTCGGGTAACAGGCACCCCCTCTGGAGTTAGTTGAAATCAAGCAAAGACACCACTCCTGTCGGGGTTCCCGTGGTTTGATACACACAGACATAGATTTAAACCAAGATTGACAGAGAGAGAGAGCGGGGACTGAGAACTTGAGAGCAAGATGAAAAGGATGATAAAACGCCGGGAGCAAGCCGGAAACAAGCCGGAAACAAGCCGGGAGCACCAAGGTTCCACAAAGCATACGTGTTTTGTTTCTCAACATCCACATTTTACTGCTGACTTAGAGGATCTTATTGTCAAACTGTGGGACATGCCTTTCAAGAGACCCGACCAGCAACGCTTCGGCCATTTAAGGAACAACTTTAAGAAAGACACCCCTGAAAGAATCCCTTACCTGATTTACGGAATCTCGACCTTGGCATCCGATCTGTCTGGAATCCATCCAAGCCGGACCTGCAGTGGCGCCCTTGTTGCCCTTGTCTACTTGAAAATGAAGTGGCCGTCGTCCTGGTCCAAGTGGTCACCCTTTTTTTTCCTGGTCCTTTCTGAGTAGCCCAGAAGCTGATCATCTTGGACTTTGCTGCATTTTGCCAAGGGATCTTAGGACTTTAACTTGTTTTGCCAACTAATGGGTTTTCCGAAGTAAACCACTAAAAGTTAGTCACTTTTAGCAGGGGAGCACAAAGCAACCGAGAAAAGGGAAGAATGCTCTGGTTTTCCGTGGTCACTGGGGTTAACAACCATGCCTCCAAAGGGGCTAGCGCATTCTGCACTTCCATGTTGGGGGGGAGTGCAAAGTGGGTATGGGAATCAACCACTTTGGTACAGGGCTCCCTACAGTTCCCTTTTTTGGACCTTCAAAGGAAATACAGCGACCCCTGTGGTCTGTAGGAATTTGGGTTCTGTTAATTTTTCGTGAGGGGTTCTAAAAACAAAGTTGTTTTTTTGCGCAAGCCGGTACCAAGGGTTGGAAAGTGGGAATCAGCCACTTTGGTGTCGCGGGAGTCGGTTTTTGTTTGCGCCAGGCCGGCGCTTGGCTTTGGCGCTGGCGGCGCTGTGGGCCTTGTTGGCGCTGCTGGTGGCGGATCTGTCGAGCCCAAGGATGCCGTTCGACTGCCGGCGAGGCGCCACCGACGGTCATCCGGTCATCACCCTTTTGGTGTAAATAGATGGTGATATCTATGTGGTTCCCTGCATTTGTCCTGAGGAAATTAGGTTATTAGGGGGTTTAGTGGTAGTTTTTAAACTTTAGGAGGCCCAGATGAGGATTCCGAACCAAATGGGTGAGATTCCCAGCTATTCCCTTAGGCTTCTAGGTTTTTAGGGTTCAGTGGGAGCAGCCCGGATGAGGATTCCGAACCATAGGTCGCAGGAGTTGTCACCACAGCTCATAAGCTGGGGGTTGATTCTCCATTCGTTCAAGGGGTCAAAAGAGGTGAACGCAGTGGAGCACACGAATTTGAGCTCACCGAGCGGGAGCAAGCTCCATGAAGGTGCTTTTGGGGGTTTCTTGGATTTCCTGATGAGATTTGTCCTTTGCCACCATGATTTTGGGTTGTTCCAAGAAAGAGACCAAAGGGAAACCACACTTTTTCCAACAATGGAAGTGGACGGCTTGGGGGGCCTTTTGAACATCGCAGTCTTTCAAACCCCGACTTGGTCCACATTGGAAAAGAGTGCAAGTGTGATTCCCATCTCAGGCGAAGTTTGTGAACT